GGGTAAGACTCTCTGCCCGCGCACTCTCCTTTGGGCATGCCTGCGCACCCCACCCCCCTTTCCTCAGGCTTGCAGTTTGCTGCTTCTGTCCTAAACTCTAAGGGTCCCAACCAGACTTGAACCCCGGAAGCAATGGACAGCAGCAGCTGGCATTCGACTCATCCCAGATCCTGTCTCCAACGGTCCTTCTTTTCTTCTCATTGCCCCAAACTATAATAAATTAATTCTTATTTAAAAAAACAAAAACAAACCCTCACACTCATCAGTGACCTGGACTAGGGTTTGTATTTCCCCTTTGCCCTTTATTCCTCAGGGGTTGCTCTGTCCGCACATGTGGACTGTGTGCCATTTGCTTCCCCAGGTTTCTATGTAGGTCTTGTACTTGGCAGGGCTGGTTTGCTTGCACTGCCCTCTTCTCTCCCTGCTGTCCTGATACCTGCTGTACAGAACCCTTAGGGAAGGACTTCACTTCAGTAGTATTGCCAGAAGCCTAATAAAGTTCACATTGATTATCAGTGAGGAAAACCATTTTTTATATTTCTCTTGATCATTTCTACACCAGAGCGTATGTTTATTGATTGTTAGAGAAAAAAGGGGAAGGACAGAGTGTGAGAATGAGAGAGGGAGAAAAATGTCCATGTGAGAGAGGAATATCTATCAGTTGTCCGCCATCTGCACCCTGACTGGGGATCGAACCCTCAACCTAGGTATGTGCCCTGACTAGGAAGCAGACGCACAGCCTTAGGGTGCACAGGACAATGATCTAAATAACTGAGTCACCTGGCCAAGGTGGGATAAAATATTTTGGTTATGTTTATTAGTTTTATTTTGTCTAATATGTAGTCAAACTTCAATAATTCCCTATTACTTTTGAACAAGATGAACTACCCATTGTTGAAAGAGGAATGTTTAAGTTGTCTAGTACTGTTGCATTGATTTTTCTGCCTTCAGATCTCATATTGTTTGCTTACTGTACTGAGGTGCTCTGTGGTGGGGTGCATAGTAATTAAAATTGTTATCCTCTTGACAAATTCACTCCTTTATCATTTTAGGATGACCTTTTCCTCTTGTGACAGTGTTTGAAGTTGTCTGTTTTGTATGATAAATTTTAGCTACTCCTGTTCTCTTTGGTTATATTTGCATGGAAAATTTATTACATCTCTTTGTTTTCAGCCTATTTGTGCTTATGAAGATTTAGTGAGTCTCTTGGAGGCAGCATATATTGTGTCTTGTGGGGATTTTGATGGAGGCTGGGGAGAGGGAGATAAAAGCAAAGCCTAAGCAGTCTTCATCAGGAGTTCTGCCCTCAACTTACCTATTTATTTTATAAATAAATTTTTTTCAATTACAGTTGACATGCATTATTAGTTTCATGTGTACACCCCAGTGATTAGAAATTATAATATAACTTACTAAGTGATCATCCCGATAAATCTCTCCATACACAGTTATTAGAATGTTATTGACTGTATTCCCTAGGCTATACTTTACATCCCTGTGATTATTCTGTAACTGCCAATATGTACTTCTTAATCTCTTCACCTTTTTCACCCACCATGAAAATTTTTTAAGCATTTATTTGAGCCAGACTGATGTCAATGACCCGGAAGCAAGATCTCAGATCCTTTTGTGTCTTGTATTTTTTATCCCTTCAGCCACTCTGTGTCTCTTAATTGAAGAACTTGTTGAAAGGCCTACTACTGCCACTTTGTCATTGTTTTCTGCCTCTTTTGTTGTTTCATTTTTGTGTTCTTTGCTTGCTGTCTTTTTTTTGGTGATTTGATCCTTTTCTATAGTGGTATGCTTTGATTCCTTCCTTTTTTGTGTATTATTATATAGGATTGTGCTTGTGGTTTACATAAAAGAACTCATCCTCCTAATAGTTTATTTTAACCTGAAAACAGCTTCAGTTGTATTAAAAAAAAAATCTACCCTTTGATACGCCACTCCATTATATGTTTTGATGTCACAATTTATATCATAATATATATTGTGTATCTATAAGAAACTATAATGACCATTGTTACTCTCTTTTTTTTATTGTTAAAATGCATTTGTCTCCATTTTCCCGCCACCACTTTCCCCTTGTCCATTGTTGTTCTTAATATACTTTATTTTTATCCTATAGAATAGAGTCTTTTTGGTGTGCTCTCCAATTTTGGTCAGTCCCTGTTTCACCTTGAAGTGTGCACACATTTCTGTACAAACCTTGCACAGCATCTGCTTTGCTGCAGGTGATTTTCATGGTTTTTGGAACATTCACATTCCTCTACACCACCTTATATCACCTGCAGGAAGTGTTTTGCAAGCAGCCATTGGCAGAGGAACAACTCTTAAAACCTGTCTCTCTTTCTTGTGTCCCATCCTATCCTCGTGTTTTTTGTTTAATGAGGTGCCCATGACTTACTGACCTTAGAGGACTGTAATGCATAGCAACCACGTTTTCAGAGTCTATCTCAGTTGTTTTGACAATCATCACATAGAATCATGCCTAGATGTGACAGATAAAAATTTGTCATGAGAATATCCCTTCCCAGTAGGTCACTATGTACTTCACCTGGGTTTTCTTTTGTTCGGGTTGCTGCCGTGGAGAAGACATGGAGGCATCCGTTGAACAGAACATTCCTCTAAGTGTCTCTCAGGCAAAGAATGTTAAGGCACCTGTGTCTTCCCAGAAGTCCCACCCCTGTAAGAATTGTGGACCAGTCTTGAGAGACATTTTCTTGTTGGTTGACCAGAAGGGAACGCAACAGAGGCCCAAGCTGCTGAGGTGTGGGGCACGTGGCAAAACATTTTTATTTCAGTGCAAAGTGTCACTAGCGCCAGGAGTAGCACGCAACAAAGAATTGTGTCATAGCAATGTGCACTACCCATAATTTCTTGTTTATTATAATATATACTGTGATATAAAGAAATTCTCAGCCTAGCATACCTCGATTTTCAGTATGAATATGTACTTCTTCATTTACTTTAAATGTAATTCCTGAATATGTTCCTAATCTTACTGATTTGACAGTGCTATCCTTATCATCATCTCACCTATAAATCATTAACTATGTCTGTAACAAGTTCTATTTCATTATGAAAATGAAAATAGCATTTTCATACTAACAAAAATACAAATTACTTTGTCAGAATTCAGTCTTCAAAAAATGATTTTTAAATTGATATTTAAATTATAAATGAAGAGTTTTTCATTTGTTTATATTATGCATCTTTATTTCAACAGTTCTACATTCTTGTGTTATATTTGTCATATGTGTGATTGTGTAACTCATTTGTTTAAAATTTTTCAGATTCTCTACAGTTTTAGTTTTTGATAAGCTGCTGAATTTTAAAGAGTTTTTGGGGCCACCAAATATTTTGGATCATGCAGAGAATATATATTGTACTATAGTAATTTTGTATTTACATTTCCATGATGTGACATAATAGATGTGAATGTTAATCACTGCCTGACTATGTTAATGTTACCAAACAAATGGACCCATGGGGGGTGGTGCCCAGATGCTATTACCAAAACAACGACCCGCCCTTCCCCGGGGTCCCTTGGTTGTAGGTCCTTTGCCCGCCGCCCTTGGAATTACGGCTCTGAATGGCAGAGTTTGGTGAAAAGGAAAGGAACTATTTATTCAAAAGTTATACAGATTTGTTTAATGGCTAAATGTCGCTCTTCAACGTCAAAATCCCGTTAAATCAATCACCAGCACATACACAGTCCTGCTTTTCCCCCTTTGCCCAGTTAGGCCTGTCAGGGGCACCGTCCTTCAGAAGACAAAGAACAGAAGTCTGGGGCTTTGCTAGGCAGGCCCCTCGCAGGTCTCAGCACCATCAGCTCTGTTGTCTTGATCTCCAGCTCTTAATCCATAACCATGTGGCACCTTTTCATGGCCCACTAGCAAGAGTCCTTTCTCCCCTCTTTCTTCCGACGTGGTCTTCACGTTGTTTCCCAGAGTCTGTGTCCCTTGTTCTCTCCTACAGGCCCCTGTCTCTCCGCTTTCCTTTCCCCTAGTTACATTCTGTATTAAGTCTTTTAATCCTTCCTGATTAGCCGTGGTGAAATGCAAAATAACCCTTTTTGCATATGAGGAACGAAGCTATCCTGTTATTGATATGCAAAATGACTCTCAATGGCCTTGCTCAAGGCTCCCATCTCCCATGGCGGCCCACCCTGGGGTGGGGAGAATATATTTTTCTTGGACACCCTAATCTTTGGATCCTGTCGCAAATACCATTTTGGGGGGCCCTGGCTGTGCCCCGTTACATTAATAAAGTTGTTTATAAAATTTTCAGATTCTCCAATGGGAATATATCTCCCTTTCTTGTGATGTGCTTTATTGGGCTTCAGAGATAATGCGCATTCACCAATACAAAGGGAAGACCCTACAATTGCAAAAAAGATTGTATGCAACTCAATTGAAGGCTCAGTTGATGGTTTGCATTTTTAATCAATAAAACATTTTAAAATTAAGGTGTGAATATTGTTACTTTTTACAGTGCTATAGCACAGTTAAGAGGCCACCGTAGTATTTAGTGTAAACATGAATTTTAAGTTTTTAGAAATTTGGTAATTAAAAAATTCTCATTCAACCTGTTCAATGATTTTTTAAAGAGAGCGGACGGGAGAGAAACAGCGATGTGAGAAATAGCCATTGGCTGCCTCCAGTAGGTGCCCTTACTGAGGATCAAACGCACGCTCTAGGTGTGCGCCCTCACCTGAAACTGAAATGTCCATGTTTCGGTGCTTGGGGCCAGGCTCCAACCGACAGGGCCACTGACCAGGCTCTCCGTGTATTCTTGGGGTATGGATCCCATCACCCCCTTCTGGAGCCAGCTGGGGAGACGCAGCATCCGGGCCTCGGAGTGTGGGAACTACATTTCCCAGAAGGCCGGGGGCGGACTACGGCCGCCGCGAGCCAATGAAGACTCAGAGGAAGGCAGTTCCACTCGGGCCCCGCCGTGGGGCGGGACTTCCGTCCCTCTCCCGGCGGGCAGTTCCTCTTCTCTCAGTAGCTTTCTGACCCGGTGAGGATCTTGTGGTCACAGAAGCGAGCGGAGGAGGCGTGAGGATGGTGGTCACAGTAGGTGTGAAGCTCGGCCACTCCGCTTTGGTGACCAGCGCCAGGGCGGGGACAGAGTCTGTTGTGCTCCGGGGACCACTGTTTTCCGCGGCTCCGGCCCTTCTGCGCTCGCGGAGTTTGATGGCGGCGGCGGCGGCGGCGCTGAGGCGCCCGGCTGAGGTGAGTGCGCGCCGCCCTCCTCGCGCAGCCCACCGCGCCCTGCAGCCCAGGGGCGGGGCGCCCGTCTCGTCCTGCGGCCCAGGCCCCGGCGTGCGGGACGGGAGGCGCTCGTGGGTGACACGGCGTGGCCGGGTGGGAGAGGGTGACGGGCTGCGGGGCCGACTGCGGTTTTGTTACTGAACCTCCAACACACCGGCGTCTGCTCCTGCCCCGGCACGTTCCTAAAAGTTCGTTTGTCAGACAACGTTCAGGTCCTTGCCTGGCCCAGGAAAAGATTTGAAGGACACATCGGTGTGAGACTAAAGCAAGTTTTATTCAGGTAGAAAAAAGGCCACTCTGGGCGCCTCTGTGAAGGAAGCAAAACGTGTGCCTCCGAGTGGACGCGCTGGAGAGACAGGAGCGAGTGCTGAGCTAGGTCTTGGGATTTGATTTGCTTCCAAGGCTGGAGGCTTTGTCTCCAAGCGTTGGGGCGCCACATTCTGAGCCTCCTGGTTGAGAGTGGTGCTTGTTGTGGAGATTTCCGTGATTGCCACGGGGCTTCCTGCCTTTAACTGGTTCCCTTTGATCGTGCCCAGAGTTTGGGGCTCTGATGAGAGGACGTGGGTTTTTATTATCACTTGTCAGGATTTTCCCCTAAGTTCTTTCTGTCTTGCGTCAGTTGTACTAGATCATTCTGACGTATCTGAGCACCCTCTGGAAGCCGTGCGCTAAGTTCATGGGTGATTTCTGAGAGATGCCTGTGGTGTGGAGCAGGAGCAGAGCTCAGGGAGTGAATCTGTGTGTGAAGCTGTGAAGGAGAAAGAGATCACACAGTGTGTGCGCTGCCAGAGGAAGGGTGAGCTCGTGGGCCTGGCTAGCAGGTGTAGGGACTTAAGGGTGAAGTATGAGCCCATGTTTGGCTTGGAGGCATGAGTGGACAGACAGTGGAATTGCCGGGCAGGGAGCCTGGAACCCTGCAGGCATGGCCTGGAGCTTAGATGCTATTTATCTGCTGCACATTGCGTCCCTGCTGCTGTTGCTGAGGGCGATCACAGTGATTCTTGGGACCGTGAGCAGATAGCATCCCTGGACCCGGCCTGGCCCTGAGCGGGTTTGCGTAGGACTGGCTGGTAGTGTATGAGTTCTTCACTTCGTGTAGGAAAGATTTCACAACACCTGTTCAGGTGACTATGAGGACACACTTATTAAAGCAGGAGACAGTAAAACAAGGAGGGGCTTAGCATAGAGAAAAGCAACAGGACAGCCTAACTGGGCTGCCGTAACTCACTAGGAAGTCAGAGAAGAGGGGGCTTTGGGGATAGGTTCAGGGAATTAGCCTGGGACGAACTGTGGGCTTCCCTTGCCTTATAGTTTAGGAGATGTTTGCCTTGAAGAGAAAAGTTGTTGGGGGGGGGGGGGCAGACAGGAAGGAAAAGGAAATGGTGCTGGCTGCTCCCCAGAGGGAGAGGGCACACTCTTGTCACTTGTCTTGAGGCTTTTATCTTTTTATTGGAGGAGGAAATCTTAGTGGAGGTCTTGGCAGAGGGCTTCAGTAAAATAGTCACCAGTTTTCCAGGTGTGCCCGCTCAGGGTCGTGGTTACTGCTGATTGGTCAGTGACAGGGCTTGGGGTCATTAGTCACTGCAGTTGGTCCTGGCATCGTCCACCTGGTTTTGCTGCTTTTCTGGGCCTGGAGTTGGAAAATGACTGAAGGCTAGATGTTATCTGCAGGGACAATGGAGGAAGAGGTTACCCTGGGGGTGAGGTCCTTGTCTTCCCAGTTTTGTCCCCTGTCAGGCGCTCCTGGTGACAGTCTTCAGTGGCTGTAAATTGCTTGGCCTTTATGTTCAGCTGTCTGTCTCAATTTCTCTGTTCTTTGTGCCAAGAAACTTTCCTAGCTTCTCACTATCCTTTCTCAGTATCTCCTCTTGGGGCAGGGGGAGCACTGGAGGATGGTGGATATGGGGAAGATGTGTGACTAGTAAAATTGTGGGTTCTCAGAGACACAATGTTTGTCTTTCATTTGTATTCATCCTGATAGGTTGGTTTTACCTTTGAGGATGTGGCCGTGCACTTCTCCCAGGAGGAATGGCACCTCCTTGATGAGGCTCAGAGACGCCTGTACCTGGATGTGATGCTGGAGAACTTTGCTCTTATATCCTCGCTGGGTAAGACCCCCAGGCTACACAGTGACTTGGAGTAGACTTTGCAGTTTCCATGCCTCCTTTCTTTAGGGTGTGTTCTGTCCTTACATATGGACTGTGGGTACTACTTGCTTCCCCACTTTTGGGGGTAGATGTTTTGTTTTTTGTTTTTGGCAGGGCTGGTTTGTTAGCATTGCCCCCTGTTCTCTCCCTGTAGCCCTAATACCTCCTGTACTGAACCTTCATAGGGAAGGATTTGTGGTTGGTCTTTCAAGGAGCTGGATGGATTCTACCTGGTTAATGAGGAAAAGAATATTTTATATTCCTCATGGTCATTTTTTAAAAAAGGTTTCTAGTGATTTATTTTTAGAGAGAGGGGAAGGGAGAGGGGAAAGGAGGGAGAGAAACAGCAATGTGTGGTTGCCTTTTGTGCTTACCCTGCCTGGGACCTGGCCTGCAATCCAGGCATGTGCCCTGACTGGGAATCAAACCAGCAACACTTTAGTTCACAGGCTGGCATTCACTCCGGTGAGCCACACCAGCCACGGTTCCTCATGGTCATTTTTATATGTCCTTTTGAAAAGTATCTGTACATTCTAAGTCCTTTTCTTATTGTACTTTTTTTTGATAATGAGTCTTTTGAATATCTTGCATATTTTATATATTCCTTATCAGATACATCATTTTGCATTTGTTTAATTGTACTTTGCAATTTTAGTTTTTGGAAACTCCAGCAAGTTTATTAATGCCATTTTTTGAGCAGTCATAGTATATGGTTAGCATTTTTTCACAATATTTTACATTTTTATGTACATTTTTAAAGGCATAATGCTGTTAAGCTATTAGGAGACTAGAGTATAATGTAAAGAGAAGTTAATTAATCACTGAAAGTAAAAAATTGTATGTGACTCCTTATATTGTGATACTCGTTTTATTGTGGAGGGCTTACCTGAACCTACAACATTTCCAAGGGACAGTTGTATATAATTTGCAAGTGCTTTTTACTGTCTCGTAGATTGCATTTTTATTTCATGAATTTTTTGTTTTGCTCTGCAGTAACTTTTTCATGAGGTGTAGTTTAGATGTTGTGTTTTATTTTTGTTTCCTGTGTTTAGCGTCATATCCAGAAAATCATTGCTGTCATGAATCTCACAGAGCTTTTTCTCTAGATTGTCTGCCATGAGTGAGGTTTATATTTTCAGCTCCTATATTTAATTTTTAATCCACTTGGAGTTAGTTTTTATGAGTGATGTAAGATCCAGTTTTCCTAACAACATGCATTATAGTGACTCTGCTTTTTCTCATATATGTTCTTCCAGTTTTTGTCAAAGATTACTTGATTATATGTGCCTAGGTGTATTTCTCTGTTCTGTCCTATTGGTTTATCCTTTTGTCTTCTTGCTAGTAATACACTGTTTGGTTGCTATAGCATCGTTATAGAATGAAAGAAGAAAACGTGATGCCACCAACTTTGTTCTTCCTGCTGGAGATTGCTGTGGCTGCTGAAGGTCTTGTGAGATTCCATATATTTCAGGATTTATTTTTTACTTCTGTGTGAAATACCATTGCAGTTCTGACCAGATTGCATTAAATCAGTAGTAAATACATTTTAACAATATTAGTTCTTGGAATTTAAGAACAAATAACGTCTTCTGATTTATTTGTATTTTCTTTCATCTCTTTTATCATTCTTAACAGTGTCAATGTACAGATCTCTCACCTTTTTGGGTAAATTTATTCCTGGGTATTTTATGGTTTTTCAAGCTATTGTAATAGTGATTGCTTTCTTAATTTCTCTTTCAGGTCTTATTGTTATGTCTTTTATATTGTATAGAATTGGAAGTGATTTGCATGTTGATTGTGTATCCTGTAAGTTTATTGAATTTGTTCATTAATTTTGGAAGTTCATGGTGGAATCTCAATGATATTATGTATGTGAGGTTATATCACCTACAAACATCTCTTAGGATTTTTCATGGTTTGTAGTATCAGGTGTAATGTATAATCTTTCATTAAGGTTTGCCGATTTTCTGTGTCTTTTTTTAAAAATGGGTAATCATTTTGTTATTTTCTTTTTATTTTCTGTATTTTAGTCTATTTTAATATGTATTGTTTCCTTCATTTAGTAATTTTGGCCTTAGTTTCTTCTTGTTTTTCAGTTTTTGGCACAACGTTAGGTTGTGTTTATTTGAAGACTTTCTTAAATGTAGGCATTCATCTTTATAAAATTTGTTTTTAGAACTGTTTTTTCTGCACCCCATACGTTATTGATGGTAGCTTGTATCTCCATTCACATTTGCCTCTAGATGAATTTGAATTCTTCTTTCTCTTTTACCTTGACTTGTTAATTTTTCAGGAGTCTGTTGTTTAATTTCTACACATTTTTTAATTTTTCACCTTTTTTGGAACTAAAATTTATTTCCACATTAATATCATTGCAACCAGAAACGTTCCTTGACCTAATGTCATCTACATAGAGAATATTCTCTAGATACTTGAAAAGAATGTGTATTCTGCTGCATTTCGATGGAATGCTTTATATATTTCTATTGCCTTTGTTTTCTCTAAAGTGTAGTTAAATTTTACTAGTTTCTTACTTGCTTTTCATTTGGTATGATTTACCTACTGTTGAAAATGGAGTTATAAAGTTCTTTACTACTTTGGGTTGCATTTTCTGCCATCAATATTTTTATTTTTAAACATGTTTAAAAATATTTTTTAGTTTTTAAATATTTTTAATAATATTTATTAGTTTTTAAATATTTTTAATATTTATTTTAATATATAATATTATAATATTATTATAAATAAATAATATTTATTTATTTTAATAAATAAAAATATTTTTTATTTTTAAACATGTTTAAAAATATTTTTTATTTTTAAACATGTTTAAAAATATTTTTTATTTTTAAAAAGTAAAAAAAATTTTTAAAACAACATTTAAAAAAATTTTTAGGCGCTCTGATCTTGGGTGCATAATATTTATTTTTTTAATTTATTGATTTTACAGAGAGTGAGAAAAGAGAAACATCAGTTTGTTGTTCCACTCATTTATGTACTTATTGGTTGATTCTTACATGTGTCCTGACTGGGGATCAAACCTACAACCTTGGCATATTAGGACAATGCTCTAAACATTGGGTACATAGTATCTGAAGTTGTTCTATCCTCTTGATGAATTAACTTTTGTATCATTCTATGATGACCATTGTCTCTTGAAAGAGTTTTTTGTCTGATAGAAATTTAGCTGCTCCTGCTCTCTCTTGGTGTCCATTTGCATGTATTATTTTTTCCATTTTTATACTTTCAGCCTATTCATTTCCTAAAGATGAAGTAAGTCTCTTGTAGGCTACATATATTTGGTCTTTTGTTTTTATCCCTTCAGCTCCTTTGTGTCTTTTGACTGGAGAATTTGTTTACAGTCCTACTATTGAGATCTTGTTTTCTGGCTCTGTTGTAGTTTCTTTGTTTCTTGATTTGATAATTTTTTCTAGTGGAATGCTTTGGTTCCTTTCTCTTTTGTGAATTATGGTAGTTTTTGTTTGTCATTTCTATGAGGAGTATGTAAAACAACTCAAAGTCTATTTTAATGTAATAAAAGCTTCAATTGCATATAAATATACTGTATCTCTCATAGAACACGGCATATTAAGTTTTTAATGTCATAATTCACATCTTTTATATTGTGCTACAATTATCAAATTAATGTGGGGGTAAATGGTAATGGAAAAAATACAATAAAATAAATAATATAAAAATTAAAAACAAATTATTGTAGCCATTGTCATTTTTAATACTTTTAACTTTTAACCTTTATAATAGAGTTATATAATGCACACTTGACCAATATAGTATTGTGAACTTTATTACATTCTCAGCTTTTCTGGTGAGTTTTACAGTTTCCTGTGTTTTGATTTAGTAACGTTTCATTTTAGCTTGAATAACATTATTTGGCATTTCTTTTTTTTTAATTGATTTTAGAGTGACAGAAACAATCAGTTTGTTTTTCCACTTATCTGTGCATTCATTGGTTGGTTATTGTGTGTACCCTGACTATGAATCAGACCTACAACTTCAGCATGTCGGGATGACACTCTATCCAGTTGACCTGGCCAGAGATTGTTGGCTTTTCTAATAAGTCAGGTTGAGTGGCAGTAAACTCCCCCAGCTTTTGTTTGTCTGAAAAACTATTTGTTTCTGAGGGACTAGTTTTCTGGGTATAGTATTGTTGGATGGCAGTTGTTTTCTTTAGAGTTTCGAATATATCACCTGGTTTTCTTCTAGCCTGCTGATAATACTTTTTTATTCTTTTTCCTTGTGGGGTTTTCTTTTGTTTTGTTTTGTTTTTGAGAATATGTATTTTATTGGTATGGGGTTGTTTTCTTGTGTGAGAGAAGTTTATTTTCTCTTTATGCTTTATAGGTACTCTTTTGCTTTTATTTTTGATATGCATTATATTGTGTTTTGGTGAGATCCTGTTTGCATTGAATTTGTACAGGGACCTGTGAGAATAATGAACTTGGATGACCACATTTTCAATTAGATATTGAAAGTCAGTCTTCAGCCTCTTTCTTCCTCTATCCTCTCTTTCTATCTTTCTCTTTCTCTCTCTCTTTCTTTCTTCCTTTCATTTATTGGGGTGACACTGATTAACAAAATAATACAGGTTACAGATGCACAATTCTACGGTACATCGTCTGTAGAATGTATTGTGTGTTCACCAAACCAAGTCCAGTTTCTATCACCGTTTATGCCCCCTATACCTTCCTATGCTGTTCTTTACCACCCCTCCCCTGGCATTCATCACAATGTTGTCATTGTCCGTGCGTTCTTTCTCTCTCTCTCTTTTTTTCTTATTTCTTTCAATAAATTTTCTATCCTTCTCTCTTCCTTTGTGATTTTCCATTCTGCTCCCTTTCTTTCTCTTTCTTCTCTCTACCTCCCCCTTTCTCCCCTACTTTTGGGTCTTCCATTATGCAAATATAAATTATCTCAGTGGTGCTCAATCACTCCTTTGTTCCTTTTCTACAATGAGCTGTCTCAGTATCACCTATTCTTTCTGCTGCTTCAACAAGTGTGATTTTGAAACTTTTTGTTGCATTTTTTCACTTTTGTATCCTCCAACTTGAAAATTTCTGTTTGAATTTTTTAAAATGATTTCTACCTTTCTGAACTTCTTTTGTTTCTGTATTGATTGTTTATTATGTTAAGTTTCATCTGTGTTCTCCTGTAGCTCACTGAGGTTATTAAAATATTTTGAATTTTTCGTCTGGCACTTTGTAGAGTCCCCTCCCTCCTTTTTTTTTTTCTTAGTAGTTCATTTTTTATTGTAATTTTTCCATTATCATTTGTCACTCCTATATCTGCTTTCATCTCTACCCAACCCCCCCCCCACACTCTTACTTTTTTTTATATAGCTATTCATTTTATGAACAGTATGGGTTTTTGTGTGGCATCTTTGTTTTTTTGTATTTTATAGTCTAATGATGATGTCTATACACTTAATGAACCAGATACTCTATTCAACCATATGGACTAATTTTGGTTGGGGATAAAGCTCCAGCCTTTGCCGGGTGGCTCAGTTAGGTAAAACATCATCCTGACACATCAAGGTTATGGTTTTGATCCCTGGTCTGGGCAGATATAAGAATCAACCAAAGAATACATACCATAAGTGGTGCAACAAATTGTTTTTCTCCCCCTACCTTTCTTTGTTTAAAATCAATAAACAGAAATTGTAAAAAAAAAAGAAAAAACTATCTGCATATAGATGCAAGTCTTCTTTCTGACTGGGTGATCTCTTGTGTTTTAGACTCTAGAGAAGTCCTAGCCATCTAGTCACTTTGCTGCTCCATAAGACGAGAACAAAGAATTAGGGGTCATCACTGGCTTTGGCAGCATTTTTTCTCAATGGCAGCATTGGGTTTTGGAGTTGTAGGTTGCAGACACTCCTAGGGGAATACTGATCTCTTTTGCAGTTTTGGGGAAGGTTGTGGGCAAGGGAATCTCTTTTGGAATCCATGCCTGTGTGTCCTCTGAGGTGTAAACTCTTGAGAGTTTTCAGATGTTGCAGAGGCTTTGGAGGATTTCATCAACAAAGTTTTCCCGTGTCTTTCACTGAACAGGCCGTTAGCCCAAGCAAACTGGCTAAAAGAACTAAACTTTATTCTTGTCTTTTGACCCCAGCCACCTTTACGCATCTTTGTACACTCAACCTTACCAGTGTTTCCTTCTGTGCAGTTTCTTTTTGCTCCTCTGCATTGCTTTTTGTCTCAGTTGAACTCTTATTCCCCTCCGCCAGGTCTGTTTTTGTTCTTGTATAACTGTCTACTTGTAGTAGGAAGGGTAATGAATTTTGGTAACTCCTAATCTGCCATCTTGCTGGTGTCACTCATATAGATCTTTTTCCTGTGGTTTGTTTTGTGCTGTTTTTTGGGTTTCTTTTCTACTACAGTGCTGGCCATCCATCTCTTGTTTCTCTCTTGAAAGTGTATTTAATCTGCCTCATATGTAACGAATCATATGGAAGTTAAGGGCAAGAGTCCTTTGTTCATCACAGGAGGGACATGACATTTATCCATGGTGGGGGGTGAGATCAGAAAGGGTCTCATCTTGGTCAGTGGCAATTGGTGAAGGTTTCATGTTAGGGCTTTGTTAAGGTCATAAGTGGGGACCCAGGCTGTACAACAGTGTTTTATAACCATTTCCAGTGCTCACACCCAAATCTACTTGTTTTTGCCCATTGTTGACACTTTGCCAACTAGTCAGTTCTAGCCATTATTATTTCTAATCAGACTTCCTGTTTATGGATGATCTTCATTTCTGTAAACTCTACACCTCAACCATTTCTCTCACAGGTCTCTCTGTACTGCTCTTCAACTGTGGTACAAGATTGTAGCACATTACAGTCTGCACATATCCTTGAATTGAATGTGAACAGCATCTGGTCTGCTGCAATTGATTTTCATGGCTCTGGGCACTTTTACCTTCTTCTGCAAAGCCTCATGACACCAGTGAGAATGGTTCTAAAAGAAGCCATTGGCAGAGGAACTACTTGTAAACCTTGTCTCTCTTTTGCCTCATTCTGTGGTTCTGTCCTACCACTGGTGAGGTTTTTACCACTTTGCCATTAAGGGTTGAGTAATGTACAACAGCCATCTTCGCAGAGTCTAACTCACATGTATTGAAATCTTTCTATACTGCCTGCCCAGATGTGACATATGGACATTTATGATGAGATTATCGTTTTCATAAGATCAAAATGTATTTCATTAACATTTCTTTGTGTTCAGGATGCTGCTGTGGAACAGAGAATATGGAGGCACCCAGTGAACACAATGCTTCTGTACGAGTGTCACAGGCAAAGAATTCCAAGGCAGCTTTGTCTTCCCAGAAGAGCCACCCCTGTGAGAGTTGTAGGCTGGTCTTGAGAGACATTTTCCTCTTGGTTGAGCAGCAGAAAACACAGCATAGTCTAACACTGCTGAGGTGTGGGGCCTGTGCAAAACGATTTTATTTCAGTGCAAATTATGACCAGCACCAAGAGCAGCATATGAAAGAGAAGCCTGTTATATATGGAGTAGACAGGGTCTCTCTTGTGAACAGCTGCAATTTCCATATATCAAAAACTGTTATTGCTGAGGAGGTTGGGAAGAATTTTCTGACTGTCTCAGGGAACCTCCAGCAAAGTGCCACTGAAATCGGGGAAATGCCAAATAAAATGTCTGTATCTGGAATGATGTTTGAAAGAAGAAAAAATCATACCTGGAGATTATGCAAGAACACCACTGGCCGCAAGCACACTGTTGGACAAGACAAGGGCGTTCGTAATGGAAAACAGTGTTTTTTGTGCCATGAATGTGGAAAATATTTTACCAGCAGCTATGGCCTCCATTGTCATGAGAGACTTCACAAAGGAGAAAGGCCTTATGAGTGCAGTGAATGTGGAAAGTCTTTTGCCACAGGCAGTAGCCTAGGAAAACATCGGAGAGTTCATCCTGGAGAAAGGCCTTATGAGTGTAGTGAATGTGGGAAATCTTTCACAAGCAGCCTTGGCCTCCATTGTCATCAGAGAGCTCACACACGGGAAAGGCGTTATAAGTGCAGTGAATGTGACAAATCTTTTACCAGTAGCAGTAAGCTCTGTTATCATGAGAGAGTTCACACTACAGAAAGGCCTTATGTGTGCCATGAATGTGGGAAATCTTTTTTCTTTAGAAGTCGCCTCCGTTTTCATGAGAGAGTTCATACTAGAGAAAGGCCTTATGAGTGCCGTGAATGTGGGAAATCTTATACCTGGAGCAGTAACCTCTATGCTCATAAGAGAGTTCACACTGGAGAAAGGCCCTATGCATGCAGTCAATGTGGGAAAGCTTTTCAGAGAAATTCTGACCTTCGTTTACATCAGATAGTTCACACCGGAGAAAGGCCTTATGAGTGCAGTAAATGTGGGAAATCTTTCACCAGTAACAATGGCCTTCGTTATCACCAGAGATTTCACACTGGAGAAAGGCCTTATGAGTGCAGTGAATGTGGGAAATATCTCGCAAGTAACAATGGCCTCCGTTATCATCAGAGAGTTCATAAGGGAGAAAGGCCTTATGACTGCAATAAATGTGGGAGGTCTTTTACCAGTAGCAGTGACCTCCGTTGTCATCAGAAAGTCCATACAAGAAAAAGGCCTTACGCCTGTAGCGATTGTGGGAAATCTTTTGTTCGTGTTAGTAACCTTCACTATCATGAGAGATTTCACACTGTGGAAAGGCCTTGTGAGTGTCCTAAATAGAAAAATCTTTTAACAGTAGTCATGGCCTTTATTGTCATCAGATAGTTCACACACTAAGGCCTTTTTGAGTGCAAAAATGTGAAAAAATATTTACCATGCTGCCATATTCTTTTGTTTTGTTTTGGTTACTAGGTCACACAAGAGAAAGGCCTTATGTGGCAGCAAATGTGGGAAATCTTTTACCAGTAGCTGTGACCTCTGTTATCAGAGAACTCAAGCTGGTTAAAGGCTTCAAGCATAAAGTAAATGTGGGAAATTATTTAGCCACATAATTATGCCCTCTTGACATTGGGTAGTTCATGCTCTGGAAATGCTTAGATTTTTGGGTGTTTTATTTTCTTGTTCATTGTAACGGCACTAAAGAAAACTGAGTATCCATCTGGGTTAAACTTTATACACATATTCATAGAGTGGACATTTCTCATAAGTTTAATGTTTAAGTTTTAAAGGCTAACAAATTATGATATAAAAACCAATTGTCACTTTTTGGATTCTTACCAGCAGTGCAGGAGAATTACATTTCTGCCACCCTAACAAGCTTGTTGATTTGTTTAAACTTTATCTTAGCTTTTTCAATAGGTTGTTGTGCACTCTTACTGCTGTTATACTTTCATTTTTATAAGGATTCACAACAAGCATTTCTGCAGATGTGTATTTAATAATTATACATTTTTAGTAAAATGTGTGCTCATGTGATTTACCTGTTTTATGAATTTAAGCTACTTCTTTAACAAATAGGACAGTGAAACAACACAAATATATTACAGGGCATTGTCAAACATTTTCACTCCTTGAACAGGTGTAACTCTTGCTTTATGGTATAATTGTTTTCAATTCAGGGAAAATATTTCCCGTCTTTAAAAAAGTTTTTTGGTGTACATACTATGATAGTCACATACCATACACTTTAAAGAATTTGCCAAGAAAAAAAAGGAAAAAAAATGATCTGCACTATTAATGCACTTCATTACTTTTGCAAATTCAAACATTTAGTAATATAAAAAGCCAACCTTTTTAGTGTTAACCAATTTTTGTGGTCTCTCACCTGGGGTGTGCTGGGATGGAACAAAATGTGAAGGCACACTGGGTGGTGTTCAGGGTGAGGGTATTTGTTGATTTCCAAACCCCTTCTGAAAATGAAAGAGATCAGTGACCCAACTCTTCATACCTTTGTCCATGCAACCTGAGTTTAAATCTCAGAACTCCCAAAACCATCGCAATAACAAAGGATCCACTCTCGGGGTCTCATGTTTGGTAAAATGGGGGCAATGACCTGCCCTTCTCCAGGTGTTAGTGCTATTCCTGGTAGTAGAGCCAATATGCACAAAATGTCTGGTACCATCATGTGTGGATGCCATCCACAGGCCAGATGCCCCTGGGACCCTCTGCCCAACAGTGCTTGTGGAAACTAAATGGCACTTCTCAGGACCCTTGGTATGGTCCACACACACCCCACCACATGGAGGGGTCTTCACGGCACTCAGGGTGACTGGAGCTCTACAAAACTTGCATTACTGATGATAGGAAAGTAATGAAGGTGTGAAGCGTGCCCTTGAGGATCAATAGAGGTAGCAAAACACTGAATATGTACTGTTGCCAGTATTCCAGCGTTTTGGCTTTTTGAGCCTTGTTTTTCCCTTACAAGACCACGGAAATATGTGGGAAATCAAGAGTCAGAAAAATAAAATACCCCGAACCAGGGCCCTGGCCGGCAACCCAGGCGTGTACCCTAACCAGGAATTAAACTGGTAATCTTTTTTTTCCAAGTTCATACAACAAAGTGTCAGATTGAAGAGGCCGCACAAACCAGTGTTCTTATAACAGGGTGTGGGCTGAGAGTGAGAGCCCCGCCGCCCCAAACAAGCCTGGCTGGAGGATGGGAGACCTGGAGCAGGGCCATTGAGTTACTTAGCATATCAACAGCAAGCTAGCTTCATACCTATATGCAAAAATGGTTATTTTGCATATCAAGAGCAGACTAGTCTGCCTGAGTGGAGCCAGGAAGGTATGTCTGACTTGAACCCATGACATAGCTGCCAGGCAACTTCCCCAGTTACAGCACCTGCACAGAAGCTTGTAAAAGGTTTGCTCCACCCCACAGGGCCACGCCTACCCAGGCAGCCAAGCAAGGCAGAGAATAGGGGAGTACTGGCTGGTGTTGCTGATTGTGGGAGGAGTGGAAATGAGGTTATAGGGGAGGTTTCAGGCTGGGATTTAAACTAAAAGACGGGCCTCCACGAGGGACAGGAAGCAATGTGAGACCATGCGGGAAGGAAAGGGGTGGAAGGACTGGCTGGTGAGCCATGAGGAGGTGCCACATGGTTTCGGATTAAGAACGAGATTGCGATGACACAACTAATGGTGTTGTGGACCTGATTTTCTTCTGGAGGACGGTATTTCTAATTGGCATGTTCTGAGACTCGCCTGACTGGGCAAAGGGGAGAAGGCAGGACTGTTTGCATGTGCGGGTGTTGAGATTTGATGGCAACATTCCACCATTACTCTAAACCTGTATAACTTTCGAATAAATAGTTCCTTTCCTTTTTACCAAACGCTGGCATTGAGAGCCACAATTCCCAACACCTGGCAGTGGGCAAGACAAACCTTGAACAGAAAGATTCCAGGAGTGTAACAGTATCTCGGTCCCCAAACGGGTCCATTTTTGTAACATTCTGGCTCCAGACCTGGGGACAATTTCTCCAGGACTTGTGAAGCCCTACATTTAGAGCAGATGGCTGGGAGGTGTAAGGAGGCTCAGGTGCTGTTGCTGTTTTAATTGTTGGAATTACTATCATGATTTTCTTATTCCTCTGATGTGTTAGAGCACTCATTGTCTGCCCCACAGTCTTCATGGGAACGCCATCTGTGTCATCTCCCATGGTGGCTCTGGGGGAATCTTTTTTCAGTTTGAGTTGCAATTTGTCTGCCTCCTCTGAGTTCAGCATGGAGTGTGACCCTCAGGAGACCAGGGTAGTTTGGGCTGGGTCTCTGTACCTTCACCCACTTTTTGGGTGACAGGGTGTGATACCATCCCCTGAGATGAATTCGATATCTCTATTTGTCTCTTAGAATATTGACATTATGTGGCTCTACATTCACCCTGCAGGATAGGGTGCAACAGGATGTAAATTTTAGGGCTTCATATTCAAAAGTGATGCTGGAGACCTGCAGGATGCTTGTCTCATTGGATGAGTCCTCCCTTCTCCATGCAAGGTCCCCTCCACCTATGTCATTTGTTGTCTGTATCCAGAGTGGCTTTATGAGATAATGATGCTTACCATGTCTTTCCTGTAGCCCTGACCATGTTCTGAACCCAAGTCATTCTTTGCAGCCTCTCTGCCTGCACCAAGGACCTTTTCATTTGTACATAGTTTTTTAATATATATAAACCCTGACTCCAGCGTCCAGCATACGCTATCCACAATGCATATTCTTCTACTCCAGATTTCAGTTAGGACAGAGATGCAAATACACTTAAAAAAAAAAATTTCTTTTTAGAGAGGGGAAGGAAGAATGAGGGGGAGAGAAACATTGATGTGCAAAAGAAACATTAATTGGTTGCCTCTCACATACCCCGAACCAGGGCCCTGGCCGGCAACCCAGGCGTGTACCCTAACCAGGAATTAAACTGGTAATCTTTTCGTTTGCGGGACAGCGCCTAACACACTGAGCTGCACCAGTCAGGGTGCAAACACACTTCTTAGAATACAATCTATATAAGAAAATTTAATGCAGGTCATTTTAATTTATTGATTGAAGTAGAAATGAGAGACAGAAGCATCAATTTGTTTTCCCACTTATTTATAATTGATTGGTTGAATGAATTGGTATGTGCTTTGATCTGGGATGGAGCCCACAACCTTGACATATGGGGATGACCCTCTAACCAATCATCCAACCGATCTACCCAGCCAGACTGATTTAAAGTGTTATAAACACAATTTCAGCTAGTAAATTTAAAGATAATTGGCTCTAAGTAATCCATAAACCTGGCAGCATCCTATCTAGCAACATGAGGGTGCTCAGATTTGCATGGAGGAGGGAAGAAACTTAGACGTTTGGAGAGTGGATTTGATGCGGGAACTCAAAAAGTTACAAATTTTTAGCTTTATCCCTGGCTGATGTGGCTCACTGGATTGAGTGCTGGCCTGCAAACCAGAAGGTTGCCAGTTTGATCCCCACTCACGGTACATGCCTGGGTTGCAGACCAGGTCCCCAGTTGAGGGTGTGCGAAAGGCTACCGATGGATGTTTCTCTCCCTTTCTCCCTCCCTACTCTTCTCTCTAAAACTAAATAAATACATTTTTAAAAAGTGTTTTAAAATCTTCTTAGCTTTAGTTATAGTTAATAGGCTTAGTGATTAATGCATGTAGAAAGCTGTTGTTCCAGGAACTGGAATGTATGACCAGTTATAACCTTACTTCAGAAGGCCAAGAAGCCAGACCACCTTTGTGTCCCAGGAGGATGGCAAGTAACCAAGATGGTATCTGAGCCATTGTGCTCCAGAGAGAGAACATCTTGACCAGGACACACATAAGGAATCGCTGGTCAGCAGATAGAGATGCTGGAAAAATCACTGGACTGCAGTTTTTTTTAAAAGATTTTATTTACTTTTAGAGAGGGGAAAGGAGTGAGAGAGGAAGAGAAATATCAATGTGTGGTTGTCTCTCCTACGCCCTCAAGTGGGAATCTGACTCACATGTGCCCTGACTGGGAATTGAACCAGCAATCCTTTGATTCACAGGCCAGTGCTCAATCCACTGAGCCACACCAGTCAGTGCTGGACAGCAATTTGTATCTGATTAACCTTTTTCCTTGAATTCCAAACCCCTTACCTACCTTTTACTTCTTATTATCAAAAGGTAGGCCTGAGAGGAGATGTTAAGACATTTTTAGGGTACATAACCTGCCATCTTCTTTATTCAGACTGTTGGCATCTGAATAAAGCACCTAGAAAAATTCAATTTTTTTTTTGTCCAAACCTGTAGAGAATTTTTGTAAGAATTTATTTGAGCCCAAACTGTCAACAATGCCAGGAAGCAAGATCTCAAATGCTCTCAGATTCAATCCTTGTCTGTACTTACTAGTTCTGGGAGCGACAGGCAGCACAAATGCCAGATTTTCTAGTTACAGATTATTTTGGGCAAAGTCACTTTCCCTTACTGAAAAGGGTCTTATCTAAAACATATGCTACAAAGCTTTCCCTGACTGGCGTGGCACGGTGGCTGGAGAGTCTACCTGCAAATTGAAAGGTTAGAGATTCAGTTCCATCAGGGCACATGCCTGGGTTCCTGACCAGGTCCTTGCTGGTCAGGACCTGGTCAGACCAGCAAGAAATCAAGCAATTGATTTCTTTCTTCTTTGTCCCTCATTTCCCCTCTCTCTAAAAATATATAAAATCTTTTTAAAAGGTTTTATAGGAAGCAGGATAGGGCAAGGAAGATATTAGAAAGGGCAGGATACTTATGAGCCAGGGCATCCTTTCATAAGGTGGAAAGATCAGGAAGGGTTTTTGTCATGCAGATGGACCCCTTCTAACCAAGGGGGATGGAGAGGGTTTATGAGATAGATCACCTTACCAGTGCTTGGACAGAAAATGTCACACTGGATAAGATTAAGTTTCCAGGGGAGGTTGAACCTGCAATTTTATCACGAATTAAACCGGGTTGCGTATCATGGGCTGTCAGTGTCAGCGATGCCATTTCGGGCCTGTTCTGAAGAACAGGTAACACCTGGACTTAGCAGTCGGCATCTGGATTGGGGGCCCGTCTTCCGAACCTGACCCCTGAACCTCTCTTTCGGTAGAGAGTGTCACCACTGCAAGGTAACAGAAAGCAAAGTCCGTCCCTCGAGGTAGGAGGAGCATCAGTTTACAGGATCCTTCCAGTAGCAAGCGTTCCAGGGCCTCAGGACGGAAAACTCCATTTCTTAGGCAGTTCTCCGAGTCTGGGCGGAGAACTACGTTACCCAGAAGAAGGTCCGCTGAGTCGAGCCAATCACAAGCCGAGGAGAAAGCATTTCCGCGAGATTTCACCAACTCTGGGCGGGACTTCCGGCATCCTCCTCCTGGCGGCCATTCTTGCTGCTCTTCTCGTGGATCTTTTCGGCTTTGGGTGGCTCTCCCTGTTGTAAGGTGACAGCACGGGGAAAGCGCGAAAGAGTCGTGGGCCCTGCCGCACAGACGGGAGTCAGGCGTTCGGTGGCGCTGCCCGTGAGCCCCGCGACGCGGAGATCGGAGCCGCGGTCCCGGCGACCCTCCGCGCCCGCCGTTCGCGCCGCGCTCCGCCCACACAGTCCGATGGCGGCGGCCGTCGGGAGGCGCGCGGCTGCGGTGAGTGCGTGGCCTCCCGGGCCTTCCCCTCAGCCCCCCTCAGCCCCCCTCAGCCCCCCTCAGCCCCCCTCAGCCTGGGAGCGGAGCGCCCCTCCCGTCCTGCCACCCAGGCCCCGGCGGGCGGCGTTCGGGTGGCGGATGCAGGTCCTCCTGCCGGTGCCGCTATTTGGTGAGAAAGAACAGGGCGCGGGATGAGTTTCTCTTGCTCTGCCCCTGAGGAGGGTGCCGCGCACAGAAATACAGGTGAGGGAGGGAGGCGGTCACGGTAACTGTGTGGCGGGTGACGAAGGCTTCGACGGGGCGAGTGGACGTGATGGCTCTGGAGGCCGCGGGGTAACTGAGATGAGGGGACACTGAGGGCAGAGCTGCCGCTCGGTCGCTCCTGCAGGGTCCACCCCGTGCGTGGGCTCTGCTGTGATGGGGGCACCTGTGGTCATTTTTCAGTGTCACTGGGCCTGGCATGGAGATCTCAGGACTGGGGGTTTTAGGGAAGGTTGTGTGGAAAGAGGACGTTGTAGCGGCTGAGGGTCCAGACAGAGTGGAAGGGGGTCATGTTCTCCTGAAATTCCCATGGGCTTCTGGGAGGCGAACCCTGAATCGGGCCCAGGTGCCCAGAGGCCGCATCCAAAGCAGCGTCTCCACAAACGCGTGGCTGTGGGAGCTCAGGTGGGGACTGAAGGTGTCTGAGGGACAACCTGCAGAACGACGTGCGAATTGAGAAAAGGTGTGAGTTACGGTCCCAGGGCCCCTGTGTTGGGCCCTTAAGGGTGAAGCATGAGCCCGCGCTTGGCTGCGTCTTGTCACAATCCAGAGACCCCAAGGGGCGTTAATGACAGGATGGAGGGGACGGTACAAGCCAGGACCAGAAGTGGATTGCAGCTCTGTGCCTTCCTGCCTGAAGTGGCTGAGGGCTGAACACCAGGAATAAAGGGACCCGAGGGGAGGGGGGCACCAGTGGCACCTCGGTATGGAATTCCTCTGAGGTGGGCCGCTTTGGAGGGGGGTGGGTGTGGGGTGGATGTGTGGGGAGGGGGGTTGTCACACAGAGTGTTCATGTTTTTTCCTGCCCCCGCGATAACAGGCCAGGGTGACCTTTGAGGACGTTGCCGTGCACTTCTCCTGGGAGGAATGGAGGCTGCTTGATGAGGCTCAGAGACGCCTGTACCTCCGTGTGATGCTGGACAACTTCACACTTATATCCTCTCTGGGTAAGACCCACAGCCTCACCAGTGACTTGGACTAGACTCTGCTCCATCCACCCCAAGACCTTTCTCGGTGCTCAGGTGTGGACCACAGGCGCTGCTTGTTGCCCCGGATTTCCGAGTAGTGGCCGTATCCCTAGGGCTGATTTGTTTGCACTGCCCTGTTCTCTCCCTGCAGTCACAGTCCTGAACACTTTTAGGGAAGGATTCAAGAGCAGTCCTCTTGCTCTGAGCTTAGTGGATTCACTGTGCTTGCCCTCTGTGTTTGGGTTAATGTGTGCAGCTCCACATCAGGTGTGCGTCCCAGGGTTATTTCCTTTGTTGTAGCTGTCATTTCCTCCTGCCTCCCTGGGCCAGGAGTTGCAGGTGTTGTCATGGTTGTTACTACTCTGAACTGTGGACCTCACAGTGTGTAGTCTTCGGATTGATTTTCCTTTTTTTTCCTAGCCTTGTTGAGGTAGACCCTTGTATATATTAAAACATACAGGCCCTGACTGGTGTGGCTCAGTGGACTGAGCATCTGTCTGTGAACCAAAGGGTCTCTAGTTCTATTCCCAGCCTAGGGCACATCCCTGGGTGGCAGGCCAGGTCCCCAGTAGGGGCATGCAAGAGCAACCGCACATGGATGTTTCCCTCCCTCTCTTTCTCCCTCCCTTCCCCTCTCTCTGAAGATAAATAAATAAAACCTTTAGAAAAAAAAAGTAAAGCGTACAACCTGATGATTTTATACATACAGTGAACTAATTGCCACAGTGAATTTAATTGAACATCCATCACTATAGAAAATTACCTTTTTTTTTTTTATGCCAAGAATGCTTAAGATCTCTCATGAATTTCAAGTATATGACATTGTTAAGGATAGTCTCCATGCTCTTAATTACATCCTCGGAACTCTTTGAAAGGAATGTTTGTGCCTTTCAAACAAAAAGTTCCCATTGTCTACTACACCCCAGATCCTGGCATTCTCCTCCTGTTTTCCAATTTTGATCTTTATTTACATTTCAGCCATATGGGTTTCATTATGTCTACACCTGCACTAACAAATCCCTCTGCATTTGTTGTTGTTTTGTTTTGTTTTGTTTTGTTTTTTTAAGATTTTATTATTTTTAGAGAGGGAAAGGGAGGGAGAAAGAGAGGGAGAGAAACATCAATATGTGGTTACCTCTCGTGTGCCTCCCACTGGGGACCTGGCCCACAGTCTAGGCATGTGACCTGACTGGGAACAAACCAGTGACCTTTCTATCAACAGGGCAGGGCTCAATCCACTGACCACACCAGCCAGGGTTTTTGATTGTTGATTGCTTTCTTTGCTATGCAGAATCTTTTTTTTTTTTTTTAAAGATTTTATTTATTTGTTTTTAGAGAGTGGAAAGGAGGGAGGAGGGGAGGCAGAGAAACATCCATGTGTGGTTGCCTCTCATGCGCCCCCGACTGGGGATCTTACCCAGGACCCCGGCATGTGCCTTGACTAGGAATCTAACCAGCGACCCTTTGGCTTGCAGGTCAGCACTCAGTCTCCTGAGCCACACCAACCAGAACCAGAATTTTATATTTTCATGTGTTGCGTTTGAGAATTTACTGCATTTTAAGTTAATTTTTGTGAGTAGTGTAAAGTATGGTGTCAGGTATATGTTCAGTTTTCTCAACGCTATTTATTTTACTTTATTGATATAGCAGGAGTGTGGGAGAGGTGGGAGAGATGGGGGGGGGAGAGAGAGAGAGACAGAAACATCAATTTGTTGTTCCACTCATTTACGCATCCCTTAGTTGATTCTTGTATGTGCCAGGACCGGGGATTGAACCTGAAACCTTGGCCCATTAGGATGATGCGCTAACCAATAGAGCTACCTGGCCAACACTCTTTGTTGGACAAACTATGTTTTCCCCATTGTGTATTTTTGTACTTGTCAAAGAGTGGTTGTGCACATATGTGGGTTTATTTCTGGGCTGTCTATATTCTGTTTCTGAGATCTTTGTATCCATGTGTCTGTTTTAATTAATATTGTTTAGTAATATGGTTTAAATCCTGAAGTGTTGACCCTGACCAGTGTGGCTGAGGTGGTTGAGTGTTGTCCCGCAAAGCTAAAGGTTGCTAGTTCCATTCTTGGTCAGGATCCATGCCTGGATTTTGGGTTTGGTCCTCAACTGGGGCATGTACAATAGGAAACTGATCGATGTTTCTCACCTCAATATTTCCCTTCTTCTCTTTCTCCATTCCTTCTCCTCTGAAACTAAATAAAGTCTTTAAAAAAAAAATCATGAAGTGCGATGCCTCGATCTCTGCCGTTGATGATCTTGATCAAAATTGCTTTGAATATTGGAGATCATTTGTTGTTTGAGTTTTAGTATTCTTTTTCTATTTCCGGTAAAAATGTTACGGATTTTGGTGGAGATCCCATTAAATCATTTGGTGTTTTGTTAATGAGAAATATTCTAACAATAATAAATCTGCCAGTTCAAGAATACAGGATGTCTTTTCATTAATTTGTGTCTTCAGTTTCTTTCATCACTGTGTTGATGAAAGTTTGAGTCCAGATCTTTCACCTTCTTGATTAAATTTATTCCTAAGTATTTTATTGTTTTTAATGCTGTGGGCTTAATTTCTTACTGAGATATTTTATTGGTGCTATGATGCAGCTGATTTTTGTATGTGAATTTGGCGTTCTGTAAATTTATAGGGCTTGTTTATTCATTCTGGCAGGGTTTTATGTTATTATTGCAGGTTTTAGCTCTTTCTTCATATAAACTTATGTGATCTGCAAACACAAGCAGTTTTACTTCTTTTTCTGTATAGCTTTTTATTTATCATCACCTGAAGACTTAGAGATCCTCACTGATCTTAGAGAAGGAAAGGGAAGGAGAGAGTCAGGGAGAGAAACATTGATGTGATAATGACAGGGAAACATTGATTGCTTCTCCTTACATGCCCTGACCTGGGACCAAACCACAACGCAGGTGTATGCCCTGACTGGGGATGGAACTGCTGACCATTTGCTTTATGGGACAATGCACAGGCAAATGAGCCACATCAGTCAGGGCAATATGCATTATATTTTTAATTAAAAAATTTTTTTTAAATTTATTTTTAGAGAAAGGGGAAGGGAGGGAGAAAGAGAGGGGAAGAAACATCCATGTGTGAGATGCCTCAGTTGCCTCTTCAGCCACATTTACACACCAGTGCAGGACTTGGCCTGTAAACAAGGCATGTGTCCTGACCTGGAATTGAACTGCAGAACTTCAGGTTTGCAGGCTGGTGCTCAATTCACTGAGACACACCAGCCAGAGCCATAATTTTTTAAAATAACTTTTCTATCCTTTTCAGACTCATCTCTTTCTCAGGCACCCATAATGCAAAAATTGTTGTTTTGTGATAACCCATAATTTATGTAGGCTTTCTTTACTCTGTTTAGTTCTTTTGATTTTTTTTTTCCCTTTGGATTGTATTAAGACTTTCAATTTCAGAATCATTTTTTTCATTGACCAAGTAAACTTTTTTCTCTCTGTAGAATTTTTTTCATTTCATTTATTACGTTTTTCAATAGCATGATTACCATTTGTTTATTATGTATTCTATTTGTCTTCTTAAAGTCTTGTTTTATATGTGTATTGTTTTCTTTATTTTGTTCAGTTGTGTGTGGGTTTTGTTTTTTTTGTTCTTTTTTAGATTGCTGAGCTTTTTTAAATTACTTATTTTCAAGTCCTTTTCTGACCATTCAGAGGTCTGCATTTTTTTGAGGTGATTGATAAATTATTCTGTTCCCGTGGTTGGGGGATTGTCATGTTTCCTTGATTTGTGTGTGTGTGTGTGTTTTCCTTGATTTTCTTTGTAGCCTTGTGTTGATGTCTGTACATTTCACAGAGCAGAATTCCTTGCAGACCTTATGGAAAGGTTTTGTGGGGCATGATCTTGGTGCGCACGTGTGTGTGTGTCTGTCACGGCACAACTTGGTAGGCTGATGCCACTCTCAGTACAGGAAGGCCCAGCAGCTTAGTGTCTACAGCTCTGTCACTTGAGTCAACATTAGGGAAACAATAGCTAAGGCTTTGGGTGTTGACATCAGTAGTGAAGGTTTCTGGGGACTTCCCAATTTTGTTCTCTCGTTGGAAGTGTTTTGGTTGAGTGGTTCCCTTTTGGTGCCAAGTGCAGGGCATCCTCGTGGTGATGGTGCGATTGGTGTCTGATCTGTGGGCACCTGTGGAGCAGGTGTGAATCTGGTTTCTAGGGCGCGAATAGACTCAGAGCAATAGCATGTCTAGGGTCTTAGATACTGACTGGCCCCCAGGGGCATTGACTTTACTGTACAAGATGCAGTTATGCGCCTATCAGTGCTGGAGCTTGTGACCAGTGCACAGGGTACACACAGACAGTGTCTGAGGAGCTGGCTGCCCCCCAGTGGTCATGGCTTTGGTACCTGAGACCTGAGCACTCATCTGACAGCCATGGAGTCAGGGTCTCTAATCCAGGCACTTCAGGGGCAGCTGTGACTCTGGGTCCTGGGGGTTGAGAGTGTGGCTGACCTGGTCCTGGGATGAGGGAAGGGAGACAACTCACCTACTGTTGTCCCGCAGGTCACCTGTGGTGATGGCTCTTGGTGTCCTCTGTGTTGAAGGGTGCTAGTATCTTTTGGGAGCAAGGATCCATGGGGACAGTCATTCAGCCACCTCTGCTGTGTATATTGTGGGGGTCCTCAGGAGTAGCAAGAGCTGTCAAGGTGTATGTGGCAAAGGCTCTGTGGGTTTTTGCAGAGCACAACTTTGGGAACACTAGGTCATCCACCCTTTGGCTGGTACACATAGCTCCTGCCTTTCTCATTTTTTTTCCTTCCCCCTCTGTCTTCACTAGGCTGATCTCACCAGCCATCCTCTTTGTGTGATTATTATTTTTATGCTCCACTGGGCTGCTGTAGTATCTTTTTATTTTTGAGCTTCATTTTATTACTGTTTTAATATTTTTCTGATAGGGAAGGAAGGGAGAAAGAGGGAGAGAAACATCGATGTGAGAGATAAATATCAATTGGTTGCCTTTTGAACACGGCCCAGCTGGGAACTGAACCCACAAAGTAGGCATGTGCCCTAACTGGGAATCAAACCATTGACCTTCTGGTTTGTAGCATGACGTACAACCAGCTGAGCCACACCAGCCATGGTGCTGTAGTATCTTAATTAGACTCTTCAGTCCTCCAAGGACCAATTTTATCTGTGGATAACTGTCGTAATATTTTGTTGTTAGTAATCTAGGCTGTTTTCTTCCACTATCATGCTGACGTGACTCACCTACATCTCTTTTCTGGGTCTGTTCTGTGTTGTGTTGCTCTGGGACAGTGCTGGCCATTCAGTGTTCCTGGTTTCTCCTTTTGTTGTTCATGTTCTATGTAGCTGCCCTGCTAGGACTTTCAGGGAAGAGTTGTTTATGCATGTATCACAGGGTGGATCTCCCACCATCGCAACGTGGGCTCACGGGGGATATGGTCCTGGCAAGTGACAGCTATGGATATTGTGAAGTCAGGACCTCCTTCATATCATACCAGGAACCTGACTTTTTTTCAACCACAGTGTTAGTATCGCCAGTAGCCACACCTGTTTCTACCTTTTCCAGCTTTGATACTTTGTTGACTAGTCAGTTCTACTCCTCACTTCCACTGTGGTTTCCAGCCCTAGGATTTTTACACCTCTGTTGATCCTACATTTCCCCTGTTTTCTTACCCCGCTTTCTGTAGTATTCTCGAACATTGGTGTTCACATGTTATGTTCTGAGATACTCCCAAATCTATATATTGACCTTGTATAGCAGCTACTAGCTTGCAATTGGATGGTAATGGGCTTGCATGCGTGCTTATACCCAGCCTCTTATCAGCAGCAGAGAAGGATGTTTACGAAGCTGTCAGCAGAGGAGGTACATTATAAGCCCTACCCTTCTTCCTTGTGTCATGCCCTGTCTGAGTATCCTTCCCCTGGAGGGTTTTCCATTATTATTTGACCTTAGAGGCCCCAAAATACACAACAGTCAGCGAGTCCTTCAACAGAACTTTCTCAGTTTGAAGAACATTCCATGTATTCTTGCTTACATGAGACACATAAGTATGTGTGCTGGGGTTCTCTGCTTCCTATAGTCAATAGGTACTTCACCAGCATTTCTCTGCATTCAGGTTGCTGCTGTGGAAGGGAAGATGTGGAGACACCCACTGAACAGAACATTTCTGTACGAGTGTCACAGGCAAAGAATCTCAAGGCAGCTTCATCTTCCCAGAATAGTCACCCCTGTGCCAGTTGTGGGACGGTCTTGAGAGACATTTTCAACTTGGTTGAGCAGCAGGGCACACAAAACAGCCCAACACTGCTGAGGTGTGGAGCATGTGGAAAGCAATTTCATTTCAGTGCAAAGTGCCACCAGTACCAGGAGCAGCACATCGGACAGAAACCCTTCAGAAGTAATGTGCGCAGGGCCTCGTTTGTGAAAAGCTGTGGAATCCATGTGTCAGGGAAGCCTTTTACCTATGGCGAGGTTGAGAAGGACTTCCTGACCAGCTCGGGACATCAGCAGCAACAGACCACCCATAAAGTAAAGGAGCCAAACACAGGCACCCAGTGGGAAGCAACGTTACAAAGCAGAAAAAGTCATTACACTTCAGGGGAAGTCAAGAAAAGCTTTAACCCCCAACATATACTTGTGGACCAGGCTGTCCGTACTAGAAGACCATGTTTTGTGTGCAGTGAGTGTGGAAAAACATTCAGGTACAAATCGTCGTTTGTCACGCACTGCAGAGGCCACACTGGAAAAAGTTTCCGTGTCTGTGGCAAAAGTAGAAAATCCTTTGGTGGGAGTTCAACACGTGGTCATCATGAAAAAATTCATACAGAAGCAAGGCAGTACAAGTGCAGCAAATGTGGAAAATCCTTAAGCCTCGAAGCTTTCCTCATTCCTCCCTGGGGACAGCACAGTGGAGAAAACAGTTCCATGTGCAGTGAATGTACACAATCTTTTAGTCATAGTTCAGTGTTCATTCCTTATCAGAGAGTTCACACTGGAGAAAAGCCTTATAAGTGTAATGACTGTTCTAAATCTTTTACCTCTGTCGCTGCTCTTAATTATCATCAGAGCTCTCACACAGGAGAACGGCCTTATGGATGTAGTGAATGTGGGAAATCTTTTATTTCTAGGTCTGATCTCCGTTATCATCAAAGAGTTCACACTGGAGAAAGACCTCATGAGTGCAGTGAATGTGGGAAGTCTTTTATCACTCGCACTGCTCTTCGTTATCATCAGAGAGTTCACACTGGAGAAAGGCCTTATGAATGTAGGGAATGTGGGAAGTCATTTACCCGTAGAAATAACCTTCTTATACACCTGAGAGTTCACTCAGGGTATAGGCCTTATGAGTGCAGTGAATGTGGGAAATCTTTTACCTTTAGCTCTAGCCTTCGTTATCATCATAGAGTTCACACTGGAGAAAGGCCTTATGATTGCAATGAGTGTGGAAAATCCTTTAACAATAGGTGGACACTTGTTCGACACCAGAGAATTCATACAGGAGAAAAGCCTTATGTGTGCAGTAAATGTGGCAAATCTTTTACTTGTAGCTCCACCCTTCAGTATCATGAGCGAGGGCACCTTGGAGAAAGGCCTTATGAGTGCAGTGAATGTGATAGATCTTTTACCACTAGCTCTGCCCTTCGTTACCATCAGAGTGTTCACACAGGAGAAAGGCCTTATGAGTGCAATGAATGTGGGAGGTCTTTTATCTCTAGATCTGACTTCCAGTATCATCAGAAAACTCATTCAGGAGAAAGACCTTATGAGTGCAGTGTATGTGGGAAATCCTTTATTCGAAGAAATAACCTCATACTACACCAGAGAGTTCACACAGGAGAAAGACCTTACAAGTGTAGTGAATGTGGGAAATCTTTTAACAATAAGTCGACACTCATTCAACACCGGAGAGTTCACACAGGAGAAAAACCTTACGTGTGCAGTGAATGTGGGAAGTCCTTTACTTCCAGCTCCACCCTCTGTTATCATCTGAGAACTCATGCAGGTAAAAGGCCTTATGTGTGCCGTGAATGTGGGAAATCATTTACATCTAGTTCCACCCTGAATTACCATCAGCGAGTTCATACAGGAGAAAGACCTTATAAGTGCAATGAGTGTGGGAAATCTTTTACCTTTAGCTCAAGCCTCCGTTATCATCACAGAGTGCATACAGGAGAAAGACCATATGAATGCAATGAATGTGGAAAAACGTTTAAGGATAGATCACAATTTACTAAACACCAGAGAGGTCACACTGGACAGAGGCCTTATGAGTGTAGTGAATGTGGAAAATCTTTTAGCCACAAATCTTCCCTCTCAATACACCAGAAAATTCATAATAGAGAAAGATCTTACAAATGTGGTGAGTGTGGTAAATCATTTACCTCAACCTCTGGCCTTGGTTACCATCGGAGACTTCACAGGGGAGAAAAGCCATATCAGTGCATTGAATGTGGAAAATCTTTTACCAGCAGCTCAATACTCGTCAGACACCAGAGAGTTCACACTGGGGAAAGGCCTTACGAATGCAGTGAATGTGGCAAATCTTTTGCCAGTAGTGACACACTTTCTTATCATCAGAGAGTTCATACAGGAACAAAGCCTTATAAATGCAGTCAGTGTGAAAAATCTTTTGCCTCTGGTTCTACCCTCCGCTATCATCAGAGAGTTCACACAGGAGAAAGGCCTTACGAGTGTGGTGAATGTGGGAAATCTTTTATCTGTAGTTCTAAACTTCGTTATCATCAGCGAGTTCACACAGGAGAAAGGCCTTATGAATGCAGTGAATGTGGAAAGTCATTTAGGGATAGTTCCCAATTCAGTCAACACCGGAGAGGACACACTGGAGAAAGGCCTTATGAATGCAGTGAATGTGGGAAATACTTTATGCGAAAATCTACCCTGTCTCAACATCAGAGAGTTCACACTAGAGACGAAAAGCCTTAAATGTGTTGAGAATGCAATTTTTATATTCAGTGTAACAGCCCTGGAAGAAACTGAGGAGCCACCTTCTGAATCTAAACTATTCTCTCTGAATTGGCACAATGAGATGATTCCTTTTAAGTTTGATTCATATGGGAAATGTGTGTAAATATATTGTACTTTCTTAACTTGCTCAGGACTTTTTTTAGGTTTATGGTGCAAATAGATTTTGTGGCTGTACTCCCTTTCACCTTTACCATGGGGCAGGTTTATACAGTTTGCAACAGTCCTCACCTGATGTGCTCAGGGAAGTTGACTTCTTGTTCTCACATATATTGTAGTGAAGCAGGAATAATGTGAGCACTTAGTCGTCATCTTTCCGTTTATTACTAATTGGGGCACTACAGAACAATGACTAGTTGTGCCACGGATTTGTTGGTATCCCATGATACTTTTGATGAGTTTTCCCAGCCAGCAGTTCATAAACCTGGGAAGTACCTGCTGCACATTGGCTTGTACAATAGTCGAGGCCTTGCTATCTTTTTTTTTTTTTTTAAGAATTTATTTATTTTTAGAAAGGGGAAGGGAGGGAGAAGGGGGGAGAGAAACATCAATGTGTGGTTGCCTCTAGAGCACCCCCGACTGGGAACTTGGCCCACAACCCAGGCATATGTCCTGACTGGGAATGAAACTGGCAACCCTTTGATTCACAGGCCTACACTCAGTCCACTGAGCCGCACCAGCCAGGGTGAGGCCTGCCTCTTCCAATTCCACATTAATTTTTTTAGATTTTTAAACTTATTTTTAGAGAAAGGGAAAGGGAGATAAACGTGTGGTTGCCTTTCATGCACACTCTACTGGGGACCTGGCCCACAGCCCTGGCATGTGCCCTGGCCGGGAATCAAACCTGCAACCCTTCAGTTCACAGACCAGCACACAATCCACTGAGCCACATCAGCCAGGGGTAATTCCACATTAATCTTTAAATTTAAAAAATAGGTTTTTTGAATTTATTTTTAGAAAGGAAGGAGAAAGACACATTGATCAGTTGCCTCTCTCACACCCCCAACTGGGGACCCAGCCTGCAACACAGGCATGTGCTCTGACCAGGAACTGAACCCGCAACCTTTTGGGCTACAGGCCAGCACTCAATATACTGAGCCACACCAGCCAGGGCTATTTTTAAATGTTCATTGATTTTTAGAGAAAGGTAGAAACATTGCTTTGTTTTTCTTATTTACACATTCATTTGTTGATTATTCTTGTACCCAGACAAGGGTTGAGCACGTAACCTTGGCATACTGGGATGATTCTCTAAGCAACAGAGCTACCCAGCCAGGGCTCACCTTCAAAATTGGTTGTCGTTTTTACTGTACAGGTAGTTTAGAAACTGATTTGGGCTCTACAGGCATGAAGAGGTGAACAATATTTTGCGGGTCTCAAACGTTCTCTGCTTGTGGACAGACTGAGGGCAGAAAATAATGGGCCAGTTTTGACCAAATTTGTATGGCTTTCCAAAGCTTCCTAGAAAGGAATGAAGGGCTTTCTGGTTCTCATTTGGATATTGTGATTTAGGAGTCTAAGAGTCCGATTACCCTGAAGAGGGGACAGGTATAAGATCCTCAGGAGAGTAGTATGATTTTTCTTTTACCCAAAGCAGGTACCACCAATTGTATCAACACTGAAATGGGTTATGCTTCTCTTACCTACAGGAAGTCATGTGCCGGCTGTCCACAATTCATTGGACTAGGGTCACTGGTTGAAAGACCGTTCAGGAAAACCCTGGTTGGTTCAGAAACAGTGGTCAATTACAGATTGGAGTAGACTGCAGCCAGCTAGATGAGAGTGGCTCATCTAAACATGCATCTGGAATTGTCTCTGTGACCTCAACTGCATGATCAGTATACACAGATCTGAGGACTCCAGGCATGGTTATTTTGTGTAGCTGAGGTTTGTTCATTTAAAAAAAAAAAAAATTAGTCCCGTTGGCCCATTTGTATCTTAGGGGTTTTGCATCATTGGGTTACACTAACCATGGGTGGGAAATATTAAAAATAAATGTTATATTGCTCATGTGTCCTATGTGGTTAGGCCTATTATATTGGTTGTATGGTGTCTGTTCTGAACATGAACAGTTTTTCTATTCTCTAAATGTAAAAAGTATATAAAATTTATATTGCATTGTGTATTATAAGTAATCTAGAAATTTGCTAATGTATACAGGGGGATGTATGTAGGATATGTGCAAATCTTACACCATTTTATATAAGGGACTTAGCATCTACAGACTTTGGTATTTGCAAAGTCATGGAACCAATTCCTGGTAGATATTGTCTGTCTTAGATTATAAAGTAAGATGTACCCATGTGGCTCAGTTGGTTGTGTGTCATGCAAAGTGAAAGGTTGCCAGTTCAATTCCTCGTCATGGCACATGCCAGAGTTGCAGGTTTGGTCCTGGCAAATAGGAATCTGTTTCTCTTACATCAGTGTTTCTTTCTTTCACTTTCTCCCTCTCTTGCACTCTCTTGATAAATAAAATCTTTTTTCAAAAAGAAAGATGATGTGGGCAAAATTGTCCCTAAATGGGTAGGACATAATCACTGACTACAGAGAAGAGTGAGGTGTTTTATGTTTTGTTTTGTTTTGTTTTGTTTTTTAATGGGACTAGAGGTAGAACTTGTCAACATCAGAAAAACCTGAAGCTGTAGAGAATTGTTATAAGAGTTCATGTGAGCCAAAACTAATGATACATGCCTGAGAGCAAGATCCCAAATGCTTTCGAGATTAAGTTTTGCACTTTTATGCCATTGAAATTGAGGGTACATAAGGAAAATTGCATGGAATTTGGCAAAAGCAAAGCATGAAGTGGGATTACAGGATAGTTAACAAAATTGTGTGCTCTCTTGAGGGTTCATGCTCCCACTGAGGGCTATTCCTTCTGGTCTTCTGAAGGGGCCTTAACCTGGGCACATAAAAAAGACAAGGCTGCCTTAGGACTTTTCACTAAAGAAGTTTTAGGCCTGAGGTGTGACCCCACCATGCCTTTCCCAGTTAGGAATTTATGATCAGATCACCCTGTGAGGTTACTTGCTGTAGAATCCCTTTCATGTGTGTGTGTGCGCGCGCACGCAGAAGTGCTACTTACTAACCCAATTCATAATATACCTCTTCTTTCCAACCATGGCTTAGTATGGAGTTATTTCTGTTGTTCTTGGCTAATCATAATAAAATAATATACCAAATACACATTTCAGACTACATGCTCTTGAAGGCAATAACTGTCCTGCTATGCCCAGAAAATTTTGTGTGAATACCTATAGAAGGATATTTCCTTTTAGATTAAGAGATTTGAGAGCATCTCAAATATTTTTATATTCTGAGAGCAGGCTGAACTTTATGAAACAAATTATGCCTTTGGCTGCAGTTAACAATGAGCAAAGCCTCTCTGGAGATAGGTACACCACTCTGGAGGATCACTGCCCAAATATTCTTGTGGGCCATGATTGAGAACTCTGCCTTTTCTACGGTCCCAGGCACTACATTGCCCAGAAGTTCCTGCCTGGAATTAAACCTGACAGACCAGACTGAAAACATTTCCTTTAGATTGACCTAAGGTGGGACTTCGGGTCGCTTTCCTGGCTGCCATTCTTGCTGCTGTCTGTCGATTCAGGCGTTGAATCTTTGTGTCAGTTTTGAGGTGACAAATCGGAGAAAGCACGAAGGAGTCATCCCTGTCACGGATTCATGTGTGAAGCTCCCAGAGGAATCCTGGGTGACTGGTGTGAGGGGCTGACTTGCCCAAAGATCCTTCCAACTCAGCCCAGGAGAGTTGATGGCAGCGGCTCTGCTGAGGTGCCTGGCTGAGGTGAGTGTGTGGCCCTTGGGCACCGCTACCAAGCCCTGCAGCCCTCCCGCGGTGGTGCCCATCAGGTCCTGCAGCCTCAGCCATGATGGACCACGTTCACGTGGCAGAATACACGTCCTTTTGACAGTATTACCAGTTGGTCACAACGGTACAGGATGCAGCGTTTTTTCTTGCTCTGCACCTGGTGAGGGTGCTGCACACACAAACACAAGTGAAGGAGGGAGGTGGTCACCATAACTCTGTGGCAGATGACAAAGGCAGATGACCGATGGGACGGGTGAAGGTGATGGTTCCAGAGGGCAAAGCTCCTGCTGCTCCCTCCTGTAGGACCCAGCCCATGTGTGTGCTGTGCTATGAGGAGGTTTGCGGGGTGGGTGGGGGGGTCCTCAGTCTTGCTGGTGGCCAAGGTCTGGGGCCAATATGGTCATTTTTGAGTGTCACTGGGCCTGGCATGGAGACCATCAGAAGTAGGGTTTAAAGTGGAGAAAGCCCATTGCAGATGCTAAGTACAGCCCACCAATGGAACAGGTCATGTTCTGAAATTCACATGGGCTTCTGGGAGGGGAACCCTGAAGCAGGGGCCAGGTGCGTAGAGGCGGCCTTCAAGGTAACATCTCCCCAAATGCGTAGCTGTGAGAGCTTCGGTGGGGACTGAAGGTGTCTGAGGGACAACCTACAGAACAATGTGCGAATCAAGAAAAGGTGTGAGTTACGGTGCCAGGGCCCCTGTGTTGGGCCCTTAAGGGTGAAGCATGAGCCTGTGCTTGGCTGCGTCTTGTCACAATCCAGAGACCCCAAGGGGCGTTAATGACAGGATGGAGGGGACCGTACAAGCCAGGACCAGAAGTGGATTGCAGCTCTGTGCCTTCCTGCCTGAAGTGGCTGAGGGCTAAACACCAGGAATAAAGGGACCTGCGGGTAGGGGGGCACCAGTGGCACCTCGGTATGGAATTCCTCTGAGGTGGGCCGCTTTGGAGGGGGGTGGGTGTGGGATGGATGTGTGGGGAGGGGGGTTGTGGGTTGTCACACACAGAATGTTCATGTTTTTTCCTGCCCCCGCGATAACAGGCCAGGGTGACCTTTGAGGACGTTGCCGTGCACTTCTGGGAGGAATGGAGGCTGCTTGATGAGGCTCAGAGACGCCTGTACCTCCGTGTGATGCTGGACAACTTCACACTTATATCCTCTCTGGGTAAGACCCACAGCCTCACCAGTGACTTGGACTAGACTCTGCTCCATCCACCCCAAGACCTTTCTCAGTGCTGTGTGGACCACAGGCACTGCTTGCTGCCCCCGATTTCCGGGTAGTTGCTGTATTGCTAGGGCTGGTTTGTTTGCACTGCCCTCTTCTGTCCCTGCAGTCACAGTCCTGAATGCTTTTAGGGAAGGATTCAAGAGCAGTCCTATTGCCCTGAGCTTAGTGGATTCACTGTGCTTGCCCTCTCAGCGTCTGGGTTAATGTGTGCAGATCCACATCGGGTCTGCGTCCCAGGGTTATATCCTTTGTTTTAGCTGTCATTTCTTCCTGCCTACCTGGGCCAGGAGCTGCAGGTGTTGACATGGCCGTTACTTTTTCTGAACCATGGGCTTTCCTCAACAGTCTCCAGTGTGTAGTGTTTAGATCTGTTCTCCTTTTTTTCTAGCCTTGTTGAGATACAAATTTGCATATGTTAAAGTGTAGCATGTGTTGATTTTATACATATAGTGAAGTAATTGCCACAATGAAGTTAACTGAACATTGATCACCATATAAAGTTACTGTATTATTTTTTAATGCTTAAGAATGCTTAGTGTCACCCTTACTGGTGTGGCTCAGTTGGTCCAGTACTGACCATCAAAGCAGAAGGGTGCTGGTTCAGTTCCTGGTCAGGGCACATTCCTGGGTTGTGGGTTTGGTCCCAGTGTGCAGGAAGCAACTGATTAATATTTCTCTCTCACGTTGGTATTTCTCTCCCTTTCTCCCTCCCTTTTCATCTCTCTTAAAATAAATAAAAATGTCAAAATATATATATTTAGGACGTACTCTTCGTCTTTTCATTCTACTTTAATCTTGGTTAGCCTTTTTATTGTATGGGGTAGTTTATTAATTTGCATGGCTGTCCACAGCCTCCTAGGCAGGACTGAAGAACTGATGCTATATGTGCTTTAGGATTACCCTGAGGTGGGGACTGGTATGATAACCTCAGGTATGTATGAGAGTAGCATTTTTTTTCTAATGTGGGTCTTTGTGTTCAAATATTTTCCTTTAAAATATGTTAGGTGGTCAAAAAATGAAGCCATATTTTGCATACAGATCTATACTTTGTGTTTTGCAGTTAACAATGTATCTTAGACATACTGAACATACTTCCCAATATCATACTTGATACCTCCTTGTAGCTACACTTAGGGGACCTAAAGGTGCTCTTTAAAAAAAAAAAAAAAAAAAGGTTTCATTTATTTATTTTTAGAGAGGGGATGGGAAGGAGAAAGAGAGGGAGAGAAACATCAATGTGCAATTGGTTGCCTCTCACATGGTCCCAGCTGGGGACCTGACCCCACAACCCAGGCATGTGTCCTGACTGGGAATCAAACCAGTGACTTTTTGTTTGAAGAGTGACACCAGCCAGGGCATGGCCTGTTTTATTTTGGGGGTTTTTTTCAAGTATATTTTACTGATTATGCTATTTCAGTTGTCCCACTTTTCCCCCTCCGCCCTTCACCCCCACTCCCTCCAGCATTCCTCCCCGCTCAGTAACTGTCCATGAGTTATATGGGCTTCTCCATTTCCTATACTGTTCTTTAGCTCCCCTTGTCTATTTTGTATCTACGAATTATGCCTCTTACTCCCTGTACCTTTCTCCCACTCCCCCACACTGCCCCACCCAGCCCTGCTGCTAACCCTCCATGTAATCTCCATTTCTGTGATTCTGTTCCTGGTGCAGTTGTTTGCTTAGATTGTTTTTGGTTTTGTTTTTTTAGGTTCAGCTGTTGATGGTTGTGAGTTTGTTGTAATTTTACTGTTCATAATTTTAATCCTCTTCTTTGTTTTAGATAAATCTCTTTAACATTTCGTATAATAAGGACTTGGTGTTGATGAACTCCTTTAATTTACCTTATCTGGGAAGCACTTTATCTGCTCCTTCATTCTAAATGATAGCTTTGCTGGGTAGATTAATCTAGGTTGTAGGATCTTGCCTTTCATCACTTTGAATACTTCTTTCCAGCTCCTTCCTGCCTGTAAGATTTCTTTTGAAAAATCAGCTGAAAGACTTATGGGAACTCCTTTGTAGGTAACTCTCTTCTTTTCTCTTGCTGCTTTTAGGATTCTCTCCTTATCTTCAATCTTGGGTATTTTAATTATTAGGTGTTTTAGTGTGCTCCTCTTTGGGTCCAACTTGTTTGCTACCCTGTAAGCTTCCTGGACTTATATGTCTCTTTCCTTCACCAGTTTGTGGAAGTTGTCTTTCATCATTTTTTCAAGTAAGTTTTGAATTTCTTCTTCCTCTTCTCCTTCTGGCACCTCTATGATTCAGATGTTGGAAGGTGTTAAGTTGTCCCAGTGGTTCCTAAACTTCTCTCACTTTTTTGAATTTTTGTTTCTTCATTCTGCTCCAGTTGAATGTTTATTTCTTCTTTTTGTTCCAAATTGTTGATTTGAGTTCGTTTCCTTCCTTAAACTGTTGGTTCCCTGTATATTTTTCTTTATTTCACTTTGGGTAGCCTTCACATCTTCCTTTATTTTTTTACTGTACTCAGTCATTTCTGTGAGCCTCTTGATTACCCATGTTTTGAACTCTACATCTGATAGGTTTTGTCTATCTCCTCATCTCTTAGTTCTTTTTCTGGATCTGTTCTTTCATTTGGGTCTTTATTTTGGTGCACCTGTTACATTGTATGGGGCAGAGCCTTAGGTATTCATCAGGGCAGGGCAACCCACTTCTCTGCGTTGTGGTGCTGTATCTGGGGGATGGGTCAGACTAGAACAATGCTGCTTGCTCACCTCTCACTCCACTTTCAGTCATTTCCAACCACTTTCACAAGTGGATTGTGCCTTTTCAGGTTCTGTCCTGGTGCTGATTTCCAGGTGGATAGGCTTTTGTACGTCCTAGGATCCCATGGGCCCCTCGAT